CACGCCGCCACACTTCGGTGTTGAAGATGTATGGATGAGTAGCCCTTTAACAGATACATCATGGGTGCCAGTTGTGAGCATGCTCACTTCCTCAGCCATCTGAGCAGAAAGCCCCAGAGAGAGAGGTGGGGATCATTTCAGCAGGGATATTACACATTTAATCTAAACTAAGGAAGTGGAACCGAATGAAGGAAATTGTCATGCCTTTTGGATTCTATATGAAGAGACCATAAACTATTCTACTGTGAACAAGTCCTGGCTTCCAAGAAACAAAAGAGTACTCCAGAAGTTGGTTCAAGATCATTGCGGCTGACACTTCCAGTTAGGGTATGCTTTCAAATTCAGCTGATGGTGGGAGAGGGTGGGCAGAGTTTGGTTTAAATAGCCATGCATGGGCCAGTCTTTTATGGAGAACTGCTTGATTGGAACCCCACCTAACTACAGGGTCAGGACTCTGTGCAGAGGAGGAGTCAGCCTCATACAGATTCAAGCCGGTAGCATTGCCACACAGTTGGCCTGACAGTTGAACTCAGAGTCTGTGAGTGTATTCTCAAGACAAGATCTAATTGATTGGCCTTCTTAGATCATGGACTTGCTTGGGATGCGTTCTCTTTATTCTTCAACATATCTCCCTTTGGGCACGCAGATGTCTGTCTTATGCCTGTCACAGCTGTATTTTAATGTCGTTTATTTGTAATTTTTTAAAATATGTGTTTGTTTCTCTGCACCATGTGCCTGCAGTGCCTGCAGAGGCCAGAAGAGGGCATCAGATTCATTGAAACTGGAGTTACATATGGTTGTGAGCAACCAGGTGGGTGATGGCCATCAAAGCCAGGTCTTTGGCAAGAGCAGCCAGTACTCTTAATGGCTGAGTCATCTTTCTGGCCAGACAGCTGTATTTTAGAGGCATATGACTTGGCTGGTTTCACAGCTTCACAGCTGGAGAGAAATTTTGACTCAGGATAAATGTATCTTGTGTCTGCTCCTGATTCAGATGATCTACATATCACTTTGGTCTTTAGAATTAATACTGGAATGAGTTAAGTCTTTGGGGGCTTTGGAGATGTGATAAGAGTATTTTGCTTAGAAAAATGACATTGGTTTTGTCAGGCCAAGGGTGAAATTTAGAATGGATTGTGAGTCAATATCCATACATTGAAACTCTAAACCCAGGTGTGACTATTATTGGGGATACGGATATAGGGTTTGTTGAAAAAAGGCCAACAAACACACAGTGAGACAAAAGTCAAGCAGGGAGCATCGTCTGGGGCCAGACACAACAGTACCTTGGTCTTACACTTCTAGGCCCTAGAAGAGGGAGAAGTCAGGGAACTATTTGACCATCAGCCAGAGGAGACCTGGACAGTGGAGCGTGTGATAAGGGGCTAAGCCTTGACAGCCAAATAGCACATAGGGAAGAATCTGGACTTCAGCACTCTTGCTTCTTGAAGACAGAGCTCAGCTGACAGCAAGTGCATAAGTGCTAGAGCCTCCAAGATATACATTCCCTCATCATAGACAAATTAGCATTATCAGTGAGAATTCCGGGAAAGATGCTGTGTTGGTGAAGACAGCTTGACTGATTAGACCTGCCACGCTGTGGAGAGGTCCGAATGTTTTCACTCTGGAGGCTAATCACCTCTTCTCGGCTAGCCTTGGCCACCTGAAAGCCACTCCTTGCCCACTTCTGAGTCTGAACTAACATCTTGTGATCAATATATAAAAAAAACATGTTGAAATTGATTAACTTAGCAGGCCACTAGCTTTCATCATTCCAAATGATAAGAATGTCATCAAATAGCATCTGAGACCTAGAGAAAAGCTTCTTCCATCTTGTTGTATCCACCCCTCTGATGTACCCACCAATCTGTTTTAAGCGTGCCTTGATTTATGACTTTCTTTGTACTATAAGACTATAGAACACCAAGAAAATGCTTGCATGTTGGGACATGGAATTTTGGGTTCTCAGGCCATGGTCACTAAGATTTAAAAATAAACTAGTTCTTTTATTGTTGCCTGTGTGTGTGTGTGTGTGTGTGTGTGTGTGTGTGTGTGTGTGGAGAGAGAGAGAGAGAGAGAGAAAGAGAGAGAGAGAGGGAGGGAGAGAGAGAGAGAAGACAGTTATTATGTGTGCCCGGAAGGAACCCTAAGGATGATCCACTCATACACCAGCAGAGCCCCCTGAATGGGAGTGATGTACTCATTGAGTCCAGGCCCACTGATGTTTTTTCTGCTGGTGAATTATTGTGTTCTTTTCCAGGGTTCTCAGATCTCACTCCGTTTGACTCACAGTCTGTTGGTTTACTAATTAAGGACCCTGAGATGATAGATCCAGGTTTTGGTCAGTTTTCAAAGTATTTGGTTTAAGGTGTCTAATTGGTTTGTTTTGAAAGAATTTTGGTGTAGAAATTTGATTTTGTCTTGTCTGTTTTCAGGTCTCTAAACACGTTTTGGATTTTATTTGCTTTTGGAAGTACGAAGGAATTTTGGTTTCTGTTTTGGTTTGCCATTGATTTTGCCTTTGGCTTGTTTTATTACCACTTGGCCTTTTTCTCATGACATTCTTTCCCAAAAACCTAATTCTGTGATTTTCTGTTGCATTTCATGTGACCTTACCAGGTCTTTAGCTTAGGATATGTATGGGCACTTTTTCAGAAAAAGAGACAATCCATCAAATAGTGTTTTAATAGGGTGGGGGTTAAGGTTTCTGAGATTTAGGAAGTGCTTGGAGACAAACCTCCATCAGGTACTCCAGATGTCCTTACTTGTGACAATTATTGACTTCCAACTTGCAAATATTTGCAGAGATGGGGCTATCTAACCAAAGGAAACCCAGTTTTATGGTCTCCCCACTGGGAAGGTGGATGGTTGTATTAGTCAGGGTTCTCTAAAGAAACAACTGACAGATGAATCTGTATATATAAAATTGGAATGTTTTAGAGTGGCTTACAGGTTATGGTCTGACTATCTTGCATTGGCTCTCTCCCTGTGAAAGTTCAAGGACCCAGTAGCTGCGCAGTCTACGAGGCTGGGTGTCTCAGCCGGTCATTAGCACATGTAGGAATCTGGAAGAAGTGGCATACAATGAACGTGGCATTGTGAATGAACTTGACAGCAAGAGTGAGCATAAGCGCTCCTTTCTTTTAGGTCTTTTATTTCAGCTGCTATGAGAAGGTGTGGCCCAGATTTAAGGAATGGATCTTTCCACCTCACAAGATCTGGATTTAGGATGAGTCTTTGCACTTCAAATAATGCAATCAAGACAGTCCTTCACAGGAGGACCCAGATGCGTAGGTTTCAGTTAATTCCAGGTGCAGTCACATCGACAGCGAAGAATAGACATCACAGGGGAACATTCGATGTTCCAAAACTGGCATTTCTGTATGCTTAATTAAGTTCTAGGCAATAAAATAAAAGCCACAATTTTTATAAAAAGCGTTGAAATTGGTAATTTATTTTTTTATTGATATTTATTGAGCTCTACATTTTTATCTGCTCCCCTCCCTGACTCTCCCCTTCCCTCTTAGCCCTCCCCCAAGGTCCCCATGTTCCCAGTTTACTCAGGAGATCTTGTCTTTTTCTACTTCCCATGTAGATTAGATCTATGTAAGTCTCTCTCAGTGTCTTCATTGTTGTCTACGTTCTCTGGGATTGTGGTTTGTAGGCTGGCTTTCTTTGCTTTATGTTTAAAAACCACCAATGAGTGAGTACATGTGATGATTGTCTTTCTGTGTCTGGGTTACCTCACTCAAAATAATGTTTTCTAGTTCCATCTATTTTCCTGCAAAATTCAAGCTGTCATAATTTTTTAAAGTTGGTAATTTATAAGAACTCTAACAGAAGCCTGCATGTGCGTTAGAATGAGATACTAGTGAGGAATTTATTTAAGATGCCGATCAGTGCCTTGTTCAGCTATCATCAGAGAGTCTGAACTGACTCTCAAAAGCATTTAAAATCTATCAACTTAGCAGACCACTAGTTTTCATCATCCCAAATGTTAAGAATGTCATCAAATAGCATCTGAGACCTAGTGAAAAGCCCCCTTGATCTTGTAACTGCCCCTTGGATGCACCCATCATTTTATGATTAAGACTCTCGTTCTGTAAAAGCTATAAAATGTTAAGTACATGTTGGGATGTGGAATTTGGGGTAACCTAAATTTGTGTTCTCAGGATATGGTCACTCAAATTTGGCTCTAGAATAACCCATCTCTAATTCCAATTAAGGTAATGCTGTTGTGTCATGGCATTCCCTACCGCCATCCTCTCCAAAATAAAACCAAAGAAAACCAGCACCACCAGCCTGCTATCCAATCAGTGTTCTTAAGGTAGCCCGAAGAGAGAGGATTGTAGTGGGTATGGCCTTGACAGTCAAATAGCATATGTGGAAGAATATGGAATTTAGCACTCCTGTGTTTTTGTTTTTCCAGAAACAGTCTGAACTATCAGCAATGTGCATAAGTTCTAAATCCTACAAAATATAGATGCCTTCATCATTGCCAAACTACTATTAAAGTCCTTACATGTATCAGGGAATAAGGAAAAGTTGATTTTAATGCTTGAGAACTCAGCTTATTTTGAAGTATTCATGACATATCTATTTCCTCTGAATGGCATAAAAATTCTATGTACTTGTTATTTAAAAACAGAGATCAATTTGTTAATGATAGTTTCCAAGTGTAAATACAGGTGATGAATATCTTTAGCAGATACCATCACGATACTAACCTCTCTTGCTTTAGTCTAAAGCAGAGACAAAAAGAAAGGTTAGAATTCTTTGTTACATATGAACTCTCATTGGTTCCAGTGTGAGTGGAGAATATACAATTAACTTCCTGATAATCTTTTCATACATGTGCATTATACTTAATATTTAAAAGGAGTAAATATAAAGATGAATAACTACAATTTAGGATCATCGGATGATGAACTTCTAATGAAATAACCTATGTATAACTAAAATACATCCTTATAATTTTAAATTATATTACTTCAAGTGGATACAAAGAAAAAAAATCCACAAAAATGAGTGGCGATGGCAGGGAGGAAGGGAAAGAATATTACTGTCCATAGATTATTTTTCAGTGTAAAGGGATAGAGCAATTGGTGATACCATATTAAAGTTTCTTTTTATTTTTGCTTTATGTTTGTTCTGGATGTGTTAAAAAAATCAAATGATAACTCCATCTCAGTCTTATGTCTCAGTAAAACCCTAAGATAAGTGTTATCTCTGGTGCCTGAGAATCTTCCCTGACCAGGAAGCCAGGGTAAATAACTTTTATCAATGTGCCCTAGTATAGAGACGTCCCCAAGACCTTGAGACAGAATTGGTGAATATCTGCTCAAAGTCTGAAAGGCAGCTGAAACTGCCAGTCATTTAATGTTCTAGAGAATTCTGTCCAGTGATAGGCAGGGTTCTGCGATATAATTAGTGAGTGCAAAACAGAAGTTAAAGAATCACGTCAGAGATGAGCTGGGTCAGAGATGTGCGAGATGCTCTGTGTTCTGTAGCCTGTTCTTAGCTGCCCCTCCAGTCAGAGCAGTACAGCTGTCAGCCTTGTATCTCCCTGCGGCACCCCAAACAAACTCCCTGCACGATCAGAACACTAGAAAGCACGATCTACTTGAAAAGATGATGCTATTTGAGTTTTAGTTTGGTGTGTTCTTATTGTCTTCCCTGGTAGTAAACTAACTGTCTAGAACAAAATGCCTTCTGGCTTGCACTGTGTCTGATACATTCAATTCAACTGCCACTCAGTAATTTTTAAGCAAGCGTCTTTGTAGTTCTTAGCCAAGTATTAACAATTTAACAAGTTGAGGCCTTGACCTTATGGTCTTGTTTAAGATGAAAATAAAAGGATTAACAATGTTCATGATGTAACCATTCACAAGCAAATGTTCAAATACAAACATTGTTCTGGGAACCTGAAGCAAAGAATTCAAACCTCAAGTCCTCGCTACCTTATCTCCTAACTCATCCTGTGGAAACAGGTCCTCTTCCTCCTGAACACCATCCTCCCGTAATATCAAGTCTTATTTTGTGCTATTTCAATGTTTTTCATAATAATCTCTTAGGCAAGGATGGTTATAGGATAACTAAGCATTTGGAGTGCTGGCTTTATAAGCCTGGGGACTTAGTCACCTTCTTTCAGCTCTATTCCTCTGTCTATAATAGCAATGGAACAGGGTCTTGATTGTTGACTCGCAGGGATGAATATGGTGGAGCGCACATGTGGCTGGCACACAGTGGTGCTTAACCAGCCATCTTGACCAGCCTTGCTGTTCTAACTTCAGGACATGCCCTATAGAGTTTTGGTTTCTTTCATAGCAAAGTGAATAAAGATACAGAAAGACACAGAAATACTGATGCAGGGAGAGTTTACACACAATCTGAAGGTCTGTTTCACCTCTGGGAAATTTGGGTTCAAAGGGAACTTGACAAGATTTTGAAAATGATTCCAAGGCTCATATGAAGGAAGTGAGATCCAAGGATCCAGTTCTCAAATTTGAAGGATGCCTTCACTGCTGAGCTGGACGCCTCATCTCACAGTAGCAGCTGTGCACAGTGAGACCAGATTTCCCGAACCCAGTTGCTTGTGGGACCTCTCTTAACACCTTGGAAGCAGGCAGATGATGCTCAACTGTATTTCAGCGCTGAGGAGCTTGAACTGAGAGGGTCAGAAGTTCAAGGTCATTCTCAGCTTCCTAGCAAGTTTGAGGCCAGCCTTGGGCCCTGCATAAACAAACAGAACTATTCTTCCTCAGCCTGGTGTATTGATGTGCATCTGTATTCCTGACATTTGAGAAATGGTGGCAGTAAACTCAGGAGCTCAAGACCAGCCTGGGTTATGTAGGTAGCACTCAGGCTTCTTGGATTGCGTGAGACTGGTTCTCACTCAAAACCAAACACCTCAGAAAATTATTTTTCTTTTCTCTCTTTTTCAAACCTAGAGCACTAGTATCGACAGGTGGTTTCCCATCCCAGCACTAACCAGGCATGACCTTGCTTAGCTATTGAAATTAGGGATGTTTAGAGTAGTATGGCCACACACAGGAAATTCTTACAATCAAGGTGATTGTTTTTCCTCTGCCCTATCTTCAAAGCTCCTGGGCACCCAATTATTTTCCTTTTAGAATGTCTGCTAAGGAATGAATAAGAGGTTGTCTAGGTCCTCATACATTTGTCAGTATCTCAAGACCACAAGGACAGGCTTTGCTTGGATTAAGAAACATTACTAAATCCGGCATGGTGTCCCAAGCCTTAATCTCTGCACTCAGAAGGTGGAGGCAGGCAAATCTCTGAGTTTGAGACCTGCTTGGGCTACGAGGGATTCTGAGAAACCATGACTCGAAAAAGGAAAAGAAAAACAACCTCCCCAAAATAAAACAAAAACCAAAATCACACCTAATCCACAGCTACTACATACGTGAATTTGAATTGTGGGGACTTAATGGTCACACCCTCAGTGCTTTAGTGGAGTGTTTGTGGTTCATGCTGTCCAGAGGAAAAAGTTGGTGAGACTGAGAGCTCTAGAGTTAGGAGTTTCCCTAAGGTTTCAGATAACCTCCATTTCCGTTGTTTTGTGGAGGTCTCACATCTCATCGGCTGTTTGTAAACTGAGAAATAGAAGTAAATTCAATAGTACCCATTGAATACCTTAGGCTGTAGGTTAATAGTTAAGATGGATACCACTCTCTATTACCTGGTGAGAACTAATAGTTGTGGAAGGTACGTTTGGCTTTTTATATGTCCTTATTTATCTAGTTACATTCTAGGAGGCTCTACTTCTGCAGTTTGTTCAACTCTTTCTTTGAAAACGTGGGGGCTCTGAAAAGAGCCTTTGGGTCTGAAGCTTCCGGAAGTTCTGATGGTTGTCAAATTACTTTCCCTTGGCCTTGTGGTGGCTCTCAGTCTTCTTGGGCAGCAGCACCGCCTGGATGTTGGGCAAGACGCCGCCCTGCGCGATCGTCACGCGTCCCAGCAGCTTGTTGAGCTCCTCGTCGTTGCGGATGGCCAGCTGCAGGTGGCGCGGGATGATGCGCGTCTTCTTGTTGTCGCGGGCCGCGTTGCCAGCCAGCTCCAGGATCTCGGCCGTCAGGTACTCCAGCACGGCCGCCAGGTACACCGGGGCGCCGGCGCCCACCCGCTCCGCGTAGTTGCCCTTGCGGAGGAGACGGTGCACACGACCCACGGGGAACTGCAGGCCGGCCCGGGAGGAGCGGGTCTTGGCCTTGGCGCGAGCCTTCCCGCCCTGCTTGCCACGTCCAGACATGGTAAAGCTACAAGGAATCAGCCGACACAACACAAGCCACTAAGCTTTGTAAAGCACGGCCGCTTTTATATTTTGTTCCTGGGTAGTAAAAGGCCACATTTGATTGGTTACAAGAGGACTCAGCGATATAGCCAATAGAAAATCGGAATCTCAAACCCTCATTTGCATGATTCCACCCACGAGCCCACTAGTGTTGTTTCTTCCAATTAGCTAAGACTTATTTGAGATCCTTCATTAGCATAAACGCCCTATAAGTAGGAGTTGTCTACTTCCAACCCACATTGAGCTTCCTGTGTTTGGAGATCTCAAGATGCCAGAGCCAGCGAAATCCGCGCCCGCCCCGAAGAAGGGCTCCAAGAAGGCCGTGACCAAGGCGCAGAAGAAGGACGGCAAGAAGCGCAAGCGTAGCCGCAAGGAGAGCTACTCGGTGTACGTGTACAAGGTGCTGAAGCAGGTCCACCCCGACACCGGCATCTCCTCCAAGGCCATGGGCATCATGAACTCGTTCGTCAACGACATCTTCGAGCGCATCGCGGGGGAGGCGTCGCGCCTGGCGCACTACAACAAGCGCTCGACCATCACGTCCCGGGAGATCCAGACGGCCGTGCGCCTGCTGCTGCCCGGGGAGCTGGCCAAGCACGCCGTGTCCGAGGGCACCAAGGCCGTCACCAAGTACACCAGCTCCAAGTGAAGTGACCGTTCCAAGTAAGCCTGTATTGCGATTCCAAAGGCTCTTTTCAGAGCCACCCACCTTCTCAAAAAAAGAGTTGTGACAAAACACTATTGAGCTTATTTTAAGATTTATGTAAAAGCTATTGGTACTTTAAACCCTTTTAATTTTTAGTTGTCAGGGCTACGTAAAGCATTAGTATGTTTTTAGTTGTGTTTTGAAATGTTAAATAGAGGAAAATTTTAACTTCCAGAGCCTATAAACGTCATTTCCGGTCGAGCTGTGTCAGCTTGCCGGAAGGAACGAAGTCGTAGAGCAAGGAAGACAGATAATGCAGTCAGTTAAATATGGTAATACTCTGGCTACTGGTGGACTTTTGTCTTTAAAACACTCCAGGTGGTTTATTTTTGGGAAGAAGTTCGAAGTTCAAGTTCGCTTTCGTTTTGAAAGCTCGAAACAGGAGCAGCCTGTTAAAAAACAGCCTTTTCATATTTGTAGATTTAACATACATCAGACCCCCTGAGATGTTGGCTCCGTTTTTGATAAGTTTTTAGGGTACAATAAAATGTAGTCTGCCGTTATTAAACGAACCTCTGACACTGACAATCGCCGCCCCCAGATGCTGGTGAGGAAACGAAGCAATTTGTTCAAAAGAGATGTCGACATTTATCACACGTTTGAGTCCTTGGCCCAACTATATTTCAGTTTCATAGTTCCAGTGGGGTGAAAGGCAGTAAGGGGAAACAGCCACTGGGTGGGGGTGAAACTATAATTTTTGAATGAAATAAAATTTTATACGAGTGATAAGAATTCAACATGTCAGCTTAAAAACCAAATTCACAGGCAAATTAAAAACTTAGATAAAAAGACTTTAGATGAATATTAAAAGGAATGAATTAGTGTCTCATCATTGGATACTCTTTAGTTTTAACTTAGAAGTTACAAAATAGAAGACATTGATATGTTGCCGCTGAGGAGTCTAGCCCCTAGCAGGCCTTCAGCAGGTCAGAAACAGAAGTGAAGCAGCAGCTGGGAGAGACACAAAGACTCAGGCGACTTTTGCTCAGGATCAAAGCTTAATTCTTCATTTTCTTTTCCTCTCTGGATATTCTTTATCTGTTCTGTCTCTGTTCTGTTCTTTTACCCTGATGTTTCCCTTCTCCCAGTTCTCTTTCCTAACGTCATCCTCTTTATTTCTGTCCTGATGTTTTTCCTTCTATATCTTTTCTTCTATTTTTTTTCTTATCGCTTTTATACTACCTAAGACAAAGACTTCAGTGCAAGGAAAGATTCACAGCCATAAGTTATATATTTTTCATAAACAAAATCTTCACATAGGAAGAAATCATATTAAGATCACAAGTTACTTGTTTTCCTTAGAAGCTCTAAGTACTTAAACATTTTTCTGTGTGTTAATTTTCCCACCATAACATCTCCACCCCAAAGCAACGATTCTTTTGTTATTGATTAAAACATGTTTTAAGGAAGTTAAGTATATTTTAGCCAGTTCCTTTTGTACTGGCAGGCAGCTGTCTGGCCCTCAGTGCAGCAGATTTCTATTTTCTACTCTAGAGAAACTTTAAATGAATGGTCAGCTAACAATCTAGTTTACTTTGCGCCCAGCAGAGTCATTTAGTTTCTTTTCACAACTTTGCTTTTAAGATGCATACCGGGGCTGGAATTAGTTCTGTAAATTATGGGACCGAGGAAGGCAGGTCTAACCTTGGGTGTTGGGACTAATTGCTTTCTTTTGTCATCCGCCTGTTTTTCCACAGACAGCATTCCTGATCTATAATGTATGAAAAGGCCTTTAAGGGGAAGATGACTTCTAGTCTATTTTTGTCTTTTTTGTGTCTCTTAGAGGAGCAATAGGCACAATAACCTAAACCATTTCCCTAATCATCTTTACTGTCTTAACCACTTGTATCTTTCAGGCAAACTCAGAAAGTCCAATTAAATCACAGATCTAACTATTATTACCCTTATAAAAGCCATCTTCAATATAATCTGCAAGTAAATTGCCCAGAGAGGAGTGGGATTTTCCCAGGAAACAATCACACTATATTCGATTTGGTGGAATCCCTTTGTAGAGCAATCACACTTTGCCAAATACAGAAGGAACAAGGGGCATTCTGGAAACAATCCTCCCAGGGGGTCTGCCTCTCCAGGCTGCTCCCAGAGAAGCTTTGTTACCCCTGAACTGTCTTCCACAAGCTCTATTCCTGACTGCAGTTCCTCTGACACCGCCAATGGCAGCTTGTTCTGTGTTAACTCTCTCAATGTTAACACAGGTTAGAATGAGCTTTGCTTAACAAATTAGAAAGCCCTGTCCTTTCAATTTAGGATGGTGGTAGTCATCCGTGCCTTTGCTACTTTTAAGTCTGTAGGCGTGAAAAATACACCGTGAGCCCGGGTTTGGGATTGGGGCTTGTTAGTGTATATATAAGGAAACACGATTGCTTGCTTCATTTAAGGACTGTCTTTTATACCCAGTTCCCTAGCTACAGAGGTAAACAAATAAGGATACATGATAATGATTAAGTTACTCTGTGTTTTAAGGAAGCTGGTAGTCTTAAGTAATATAGCTTAGTAAGACTCTAACCTGTGACTGTCCCAGTTTTCTTTTTGTGTAGCTGGGATTTATGTTCATATTTTAATGCAAAGATCAGTCCTTTTCCAATATTAAATTCAAGTTTAAGTTCATACTAAATTTGGCAGGATGAGTTTTAGACCAAAACCTATTCTGGGAGTTTTCTCCTTTGTTTCTTAGTGACAACCAATTTCCCTCTACACTGCAAAGAAGGTTAGGATACTAAAATAATTAGCTGTGTTTGAGTTCCCAGGGACTGTCTGGGAAGTGACATAATTGATTCTTTAAAAATTATTTTGGAGAGAGTACTGAGAAAATAATACAATCAATAAAGTGCTTTCTATGCTATATGAAAACCAAAGTTCAGTTTTCAGGACTCAATGTAAAAAATGCTGAGTGGTGGTGGCGGTGGTTTGTGCCTGCAGTCAACGCACAAGGAATGTGTGCTAATAATTAACTGACTGTCCTTGAGGTACGGACAAATGTCACCACACAGACCTTGCACAGGACAATAATGACCCACACAGAAAGACGGGCTGAGGAGTGAAGAAAGCATCACTGAAGAACAGGGAACTGAGCACTGGTTCACACCAGCAAAGCTGCTGCAAAGCATTGCTCCCTGTTGAAAAGGGGAAGCCTCTGGGGTTGAAGTTTAATTCTTATGGGGAGACTTTAAGGCAAGCCGTGCACTATTTCCGTGCCTCAACTTCTTCACCTGTACCTTAAGGGTAACGGTAATCGCTCCCACCTTCTAGAAGGGACACAGCAAATTCTGTAGCATTGCAAAGTGTCTTCCTTCAGGTAGTGGGAAAATTGTCACTAAGTGGCAATGGAGAAGATCCCCAAAGACTGTTTTGTTTGTTTTTTCATGTAAAAAGCATCTTAGCTGTCCTAATATTATGAACTTAGAACTTCAGTTTAAGATAGGTAAAAATGAAAGTTGTCAGAGAAAGGTTAAAGAAGTTTTTCCCTTTAAAATTTATGTCTTTTCTATTTTGTGCGCTTGTGGTGGGTGGGGAAGCTCACACTTGACGCTGCATAAGTACAGGTCAGGACAACTTGAGGGAGTCCACTTTCTCCTTCTGCTTTGTGGATCCCAGGGATTGAACTCGGGTCATCAGACTGGGTGGCAAGCACCTTTACTTTCTGAGCCTTCTTGCCAGGTCAAGGTTAAAGATCTTTAATCCACATGCATGCTGTCTGTGCTTGTCTGACACAGTTTATACATTTTATTCTTATATTAGAAGGATGTGAAACAGCTTTATGTCAATCTGGGTAATAGTCATTAAGAGAGATGGAATTTTATACATTATAGAATTCAGATAAAAATGTTAGATGGAGAGAAAATGCACCCCTCCCCCAAATGTAATCTCTTTAGGAACTCTTAAGGAGATTTAAAACAGTTATCCCCAAGGAGTTTAGATCCAGCATTTTTTTTAGACACTCCCAGTAATTACAAGTTTATGGCATTAAGCATCCTTTATCTGAACCCTCATCCCGTGCTCCCTGGGTGAGGAAGCCTGCAGTCAAGTGAGCCAAGTAAGTACATAGCTGCTTTCGGCCTTTTCTTCAAGACATAATAAACTCACTAGATTACTTAGATTCTAAAATCAGCTTGCTGCGTCTTTAAGTATTGTAGTTGATTATAAATTAGGAAAAGGGAAGTAAGTTTTCTCACAGCCCCCTAGTTCTGAGTAGACAGAAGCAGTTGAGGGGCTGAGAGTTGGCTTAGTGTTAGTGGCTGCCCTTCCAGAGGACCTGGGTTCAATTT